GGTGAGTCCCGGCGGGGCGGGGCGGGGCAGTGCAGGCCGGGGTCTGGGCGGGATTCCGAGTGCTGCGCGGCTGACTCGTATGTGCTTGCCCAGGGGAGCCCCAGCAGCTCCGGGTCCGCTTCCTCCGCGCCGTGGGATACCCGGTGGACTTGTACTACCTCATGGACCTGAGCTACTCCATGAAGGACGACCTGGAGCGCGTGCGCCAGCTGGGGCACGCCCTGCTGGTCCAGCTGCAGGAGGTCACCCACTCGGTGCGCATTGGTGAGCCAGCTGCCCAACCCTTCGCTCTGCGGCTGCCTTCGACTTCCGCCTTAGCCCGGCTGAAATTCTGGGCTTACCACCCCAGTCCCTGCCTTCTCCGTGTTTAACAGACCTGCCGGGACACTGGATCCTGACTTCTCTCCCTGGAAACACCATCTTCTAGGTCATAGCTGGAGGGGTGTAGGACTAACTGTCCAGTAGGACTCCTCACTTTACAGGAGGGCTGAAGCCCAGAGACTGCAGCAACTGTTCAGACAGCTGCCCAGCATCATACAGCTACCCTGGACCTCCCACCTTGGACAGGGCCCCGATGCCACCATCTCACCCCAGTGACCCCTGGACAAGGCCCACCCGCCCCTGTCCCTGCTCTCCATTCTGTGCTCATCTCTCCTGCACTCAAGATCCTCTCCTTTGGCTCCTGCTGCTTCTCTACCCTATGCCCTGGTTTTCCTCAGCTTTTAGGAAGCCCCCATTTGCCCCTTGTGTCCGTCCTCTTCTTAATCCCCCAGCTCCCATCCTCAACTTGGTGATCTTACCCTTTGCCGGGTACTGGGTCCTGGCCTTCTAGGAGCACTTCCCATGGCTCCTCTAGGACCAGCCCTTTGCTTCCCATGGACTCCTCTGGAGTGAGGAATACCCCTGGCACTGCCTTTTTGTCCACCCCCAGGTTTTGGCTCTTTTGTGGACAAAACAGTGCTGCCCTTTGTGAGCACAGTGTCTTCTAGGCTGCGCCACCCCTGCCCCAGCCGGCTGGAGCCCTGCCAGTCACCTTTCAGCTTTCACCATGTGCTGTCCCTCACGGGTGATGCTCAGGCCTTTGAGCGGGAGGTGGGGCGCCAGAACGTGTCTGGCAACCTGGACTCACCTGAAGGTGGCTTTGACGCCATTCTGCAGGCTGCCCTCTGCCAGGTGAGGAGGTGGGGCCGGAATTAGCATCTGAATGACTGTCAGGTCCAGAACTGCACCCAATGGTTGTGTAGTGCCCAATTCTCTGGGGTTGCCATTCACATCATCTTCATTGTAGTTTGCATATTTATTTTAACAATTACCTGGTGGATCGGAATGAAATATAGTACCCTGAGGAAGAGGCTTCTTTTTCTCCTTTACTCCTTCACTAGAGGCAGCTCTGTTTGGGGGGCTGTGGAGGGCAGAATCGGGGAGTTGGAGGCAGAGGGATGGACAGCTGACACATCCGTGCCTTTCCGGGCTTGCTGGGGTGGCCCTTAGGCCACGTTCAGGTCCACAGCCCACTGCGCCCCTTTCCTCAGGAGCAGATTGGCTGGAGAAACGTGTCCCGGCTGCTGGTGTTCACTTCAGATGACACATTTCACACAGCTGGGGATGGAAAGTTGGGTGGCATTTTCATGCCCAGTGATGGGCACTGCCACTTGGACAGCAATGGCCTCTACAGTCGCAGTTCAGAGTTCGTGAGTGCCTCCTCATTCCAGCCTCTTCATCTGAGGCCTTCAGCCACCACCCACCACCCCCCGACCTCACACTCCTCCCTGGCATTCATTCTGTAGATATCCTGCCATCTTCCCCTGTAGGTCCTCCTCTCCTGCCCCCAGATGCTGGGCTGGCTAGGAAACCTGTCTTGTGCTCCTTATCTCCTTCCTTCTCTTTACTAAATCTCCAGGACTCCTCCAGCTGGTGGAAGGAACCCGGAGTCCTGGGTTTCCTGGGCTGAGGGCACCTGGCACATTGTGGGGAGATCTGTGGTAGTCACCTTGTCCCCACTCCTTACCTCAGGACTACCCCTCTGTGGGTCAGATAGCCCAGGCCCTCTCTGCAGCAAACATCCAGCCCATCTTTGCTGTCACCAGTGCCACACTGCCCATCTACCAGGTGAGATCAGAGTGTAGCCCTCCTGTGCTTCCACCTCTCTCAGTTCCTTCAGACCAATCTCCACCCCCCTCCCCACCCCATGTCCCTCCTTTCTGGGCCCTAGCAGCCCGTGTTCTTAGAGCTGTGTGCCACTGTTCTCTCAACTCCTAACTCAGGAGCTGAGCCAGATGATTCCCAAGTCTGCAGTGGGTGAGCTGAGTGAGGACTCCAGCAATGTGGTGCAGCTCATCATGGACGCTTACCATGTGAGGGCTGGGTCTGGGGGGGTGCAGCAAGGGTAGGCATAGAGGTGAGGTGGAAAGGGATCTTCAGCTGGGGTGGTAGGACCAAGGGCATGGCCACTTTTCGATTCCACCATTCCACAGCTGCTACCTGTAGCCTGCATGTGGCTGTCATGGGTAGATCACTCTCACATTCATAAATCTTGTTTTTGATTTTTGGTTTTTGAGACAAGGTCTCACTATGTAGTTCAGGCTGGCTTTGAACTCACTGTGTGGTCCAGGTTGGCCTCGATCTCGAGGTGATCCTCCTGCCTCAGCCTCCCAGGTGTTAGGATTACAGGTGTGCACCACCACACCTGGCCATTCAGTGTCTGGTCTGCACAGAGCATGGAGCCCTGCTTTCCACTGGCTTTTACATCATGCCAAGTGCTTTCCTAGTACACACACTATCAGCCACCTCGTTTAATCCCCCTACTTCACAACTGTTATCATCCCTATTTACAGATGAGGAAAGAGACACAGGAGGCTAAGTGCTTTCCCAAGGTCACACAGATAACAAATAGCTGTATCTAGTGAGCCATGGAACTATCTGGGGCTTGAGCCTGTTTTCAGTGCTTATAAATAATTCAGAACCCAAGACTTTTAATCAATTAATTAATTAATTTAGACAGGGTCTCACTATGTAGTTCAGGCTAGCCTTAAACTTATGGTGACCCTTCTGCGTTGGCCTCCCAAGTGCTGGGATTATAGGTGTGCACCACCAAGCTGGGCAGAACCAGAAACTTTTACAGGTGGAATAAAAAGTCCAAAGTGTTTCTTGGAAATCTCTTGTATCTATCTAGACTGTAGGGCTCTTGCCAGGGACCGCGTCTTCAACCATGGTGAGACTGGGACATCAGATTTCCCAGGGGAAACTTCATGAAATAAATCTGCCTTTAGATCACACGTGCACACAGATTTCATGTCCTGACTTTGGGTTTGAGAGTCACGGCACAGTTAGTGTCTGACAACCCCTGTGGAGCTTGCTTGCAGCTGGGCTGCCATGCTGTAGGAGAGGCTCCCAGATTGCGGGAATTCTTCAGTTCTCTCATGGGTCCTCCACTGGAAGTGCTTCCTCAGCAAAGATGATGGAAGGAGCCCCTGGGCCAGAGGGCAGGTTCAGACAGATGAGAATGGCTGGAGGGGATGGAGGGTGGGGCGGGGAGTTCTGCTCTCAATGCGATTCCTCCCTGTCACCTTGTAGAGCCTGTCATCCACTGTGACCCTTGAACACTCTTCACTCCCTCCTGGGGTCCACATCTCTTATGAATCCCAGTGTGGGGGTTCTGAGGAGGGTGGAGCTGGAGATCGGGGACAGTGTAACCACGTTCGAGTCAACCAGACGGTGAGAACCAGCCAGGATGGGTGGAAGGATGGAGGTGGGGAGTGAGCCTCTGACGCAGGTGGTGAAAGATGGGTGCAGGCAGAAGCAGGGTGGTCTTCCGCTCCTCGAGTGGTGTTAATGCATAGCTTCAAGTGTGTTTCTAGATCAGTGTTAGGACTGTGTACACTTTTTTGGGGGGGGGTACCAGGGATCAAACTTGGTTCCTTGTGCTTGCAAGGCAGGCGATGGAACCACTGAGCTAAATCCCCAGTCCCTTGATTGTGTATCTTAACATTTACTATGAGGTGGTATTCTGCATGATTAGGGGCTTGGTCTCCTGTGTATGTGTATCACTGAGTCTGGCTCCTGCTTGCCCTGTCCTCAGGTGAGTTTTTGGGTTACTCTCCAAGCTACCCATTGCCTCCCAGAGCCTCATCTCCTGAGGCTTCGAGCTCTTGGCTTCTCGGAGGAGCTGACTGTAGAGCTGCATACACTGTGTGACTGTAACTGCAGTGACACCCAGCTCCAGGCTCAGCACTGCAGTGATGGCCAGGGGCAACTTCAGTGCGGGATATGTAGGTGAGAGCCTCCTTGTCCCTTCACCTAGCTGAGTTCCAGTGACCACTCCTCACGCTCCTTCACTTTCCACTCTCCCACTGGGGTCTGCTAGGCCTCCAGGACTCCTGACTGCCTTGCCCGTTTCCCTGATATGCCCATGCCCTGGAGCAGAACCCCTTCATTCTTCCCTGCTGCCACCCTTGATGCGTCACTGGGTCCTGGCACTTCAGCCGCTTGTCTTTCCCCAGCACTTTCAAGAACCTGGGTTTACAGGATCCTGCAATAGGTCAGGAATGGTCAGACTCATGCACCTCTCTCCTGTGCCTTCTCCTCCCAGTTGTCTCCCTGGGCGCCTGGGTCGGCTCTGTGAGTGCTCTGAGGCTGAGCTGTCCTCCCCAGACCTGGAGTCCGGGTGCCGGGCACCCAATGGGACAGGGCCCCTGTGCAGTGGGAAGGGACAGTGTCAATGTGGACGTTGCAGCTGCAGTGGTCAGAGCTCTGGGCGTCTGTGTGAATGTGATGACGCCAGCTGCGAGCGACATGAGGGCATCCTCTGCGGAGGTATCTAGATCCTTTGGGAGAAGGGCAGGGTTAGAGGGGTCCTCCCGAGGGTACTGGGGGCCTCCATCTGGTATGTAAGTTGGAGGATGTGCCTGGCACATCGAGGAGGTTGGTGCATGGTCGGTCTTGTGGTGGTGTATGATGGCCAACTCCGTGGGGAGCATGGTTGACACCCTGTGGATGGCTCCACCCCAGGCTTTGGCCGCTGTCAATGTGGAGTGTGTCACTGTCGAGCCAACCGCACAGGCAGAGCGTGTGAGTGCAGTGGGGACGTGGACAACTGTGCTAGTTCTGAGGGTGGCCTCTGCAGTGGACATGGACATTGCAAGTGCAACCGCTGCCAGTGTTTGGACGGCTACTATGGTGCCCTGTGTGACCAGTGCCCAGGCTGCAAGACACCATGTGAAAAACACAGGTGAGGGCTAAGGTATTGTGTCTTGAGAGCAGACCAGTGTGGCTTGGTGAGCACTCCCATCTGCCTGCTCTCCTTCCTGCATAGGGCATGAGCAAGGGCCAGTGGGTAACAGATGCTAACTTACTGGTATCCATTGGACAGGGACTGTGCAGAATGTGGAGCCTTGGGGACTGGTCCTCTGGCCACCAACTGCAGCATGGCTTGCGCCCATGCCAACGTGACTCTGGTGTTAGCACCTATCTTGGATGATGGCTGGTGCAAAGAGAAGACACAGGACAACCAGCTGTTCTTCTTCCTGGTGGAGGATGAAGCTGGAGGTCGAGTTGTGCTGAGAGTGAGACCCCAAGAGAGTAAGTGAAGGATGCCAGGGACACCCTAACCAGCGTGTTGGAAGTCTGATAGGAGGGCCTCAGAGTTGGGGATGGGGTTGTGATCACTGAAGCAGAGTGGAGTATCCAGGGCAAAAGCAGAGACAGTGAGGGTAAGGCCCTAGGCCAGTGATGGCAAACTTTTTAGAGCTTTCAGTGCAGCCCACTGCAGCACATGTGCCATAGGTTTGCCACCATTTCAAGGGCAACCCTGACCCTACTGGCTTCCCTCTGCTCTGGTGACAGACCAGGTTGGGCGCTGGACATACTGTGGGCTAATGCTGAAGCGTTCCTATGTCTGGACCACCAGTAGTTTGTGCGTTTTTTCCCACAGAGAGAACAGACCACACCCAGGCCATTGTGCTGGGCTGCGTAGGGGGCATTGTGGCAGTAGGACTGGGGCTGGTCCTAGCTTACCGGCTCTCAGTGGAAATCTACGACCGCCGAGAATACCATCGCTTTGAGAAGGAGCAGCAGCAACTCAAGTGGAAGCAGGTGAGGAGTCATTTCTGCTCTGCTGGGCTGGGCTCTCCTTGCTTGATCCTCGGCTGGGTCCCTTTCCTGTTGCTTGTTTACCCCACACTCAGCCTTCTCTACGTAGGTGCCTCCCTCTGCACTTAACCCATCCTTCTGCTAATTTCCTTTAGCTCTTAGGATGCTGCTCTAGTTCCAGGCTCTTAACATAAAGGGGAGGAGGAATCCTGAGATTTGCCCTCATCATCTGTACCTTTTTTCCACAGGACAGCAATCCTCTCTACAAAAGTGCTATTACGACCACCATCAATCCCCACTTTCAAGGGGCAGAGAGTCCCATTTCCTGAGGGGAAATACACCCAGGACCATATGCTCTGGGAGGACAGTGGACTGGAGGGCAGGGCCTGGCAGGCAGCAGTCTGGTTGGGGAATAATCTGCTGCTGAGGAGTGGTTGCCACCCTACTTGGTTTTCAGTGACATTCAAAGGGCAATTCCTACTGCTGCAACTGTTCACCTCACAAAGAGCATGCCTTGTTCTCCATGCAATAAAGTATCTTACTTTAGACTACAGCTGTCATTTTGCTCCACTGTAAGGCTTTCAGCCTGGGCTTCAGGAAAGGTCAGGTCCATTTCTCCCCTGGGCATCTGAGGGCAGGGAGCAGCTTGGGATCCACCTCTCTTGGCCTGCAGTGTGCTGAACTCTCAGGTGCCACTGCTCAGGAGGATGGACTGTGCCAGCAGCATTGCCTTAGCTGGCGCATGACCCCATCTGTCCAGCTGTGCACAGCTTTCCTCAGAACCGATGACTTTTTTGCTTCTACTTGTTGCTCCTTGGTGAAGGGGGAGTTTTAATAGGATGCTGGAAATTGAGGGGTTGGTTATATTAGGGAGAGGCACAAAAACCACCAAAACCACTCTAGCCCCCAGTGAAAAATCTTCACCAAAGGATAGTCTTCCCAAAAAGGAGATGGAATGTAGAAAAGCCCCCTTTTTATTTAAATATCCTAAATATATCACGAAGGAACATACACTGCACTTTAATGGTAAAAAGATACAAGTTTATAACATCTTATAAAAACTACCATTTAAAAGTGATCTCGTTCATTTAACAGTCCCCTCCCCCATAGCAAAATAAGTATATTAAAAAAAAAAAAAAGGTGGGAATTGTTGAAGATGAAAGCCCCAGGGCCACGGCGGAGGCAAACAGCATATAGCGAGGTTAAAAGTTGTGGTGGACGCTACTCGCTTAACCCCACTCCAATGCCAAGCCTTGGGGCACAATCAGTAGCTAAGTGATGACAAGAGGCTGCTGGGGGCGCGGACGGAAATATGGGAGTGCTGGGGAGGGCAGAGCTGGCCAGGCCTGGTGCAGGAACCCACCTAGAAATGGGCACTATCTTTCCCAGGTCACCCAACTGCATGTCCTGCTCTCAGAGCCTGCCCTGGCTCCACTTCTGCACATTCAAAACACCCCTGAGGTATCTTTCCAGCTAATGAGGGGTGGGCATGGGGCCCAGGAGCCTTTGCAGTGGTCTTGGTCTGTGGGTTCTCTGGGTAGAAGTAGGGCTCCTGGGCCCTCTGTCACCCCTGTGCTCATCTCCTCACATATCCATTGCCCTGGAACACCAGCACCTGAACAACTGGACTAACCACCTGCTCCTAAGTCCCTACGCCCAAGCCTTGGGAGGAGTGGTTCTGCCACAGCCATCTGCATCCCACCCATCCACCCAGGCAGGAAGCAGACATCTGCCGGGTGCAGGGGACATTCTCATGTAGCACATGCAGTCATACCCACAGGGGCACAGATCACTCATGATTCTCTCCACACCTCCAGCCCAGAAAGACCAGCTCCAAGTGACAGGGACAGGGCTCCCACTTTCAAAAGCACTTTTAGGAGAGTAACTTTTTCAGTGTACACTCCTTGCCAGAGTCGAATGACAGAAGAGCCCCAGCCCCAGAGGAGGCCTTTAACAGAAAGGGGGTTGGCTCACATGCAGAAATTTGCCCCTGCCTGCAGGAACCACAGGGCAGATCCAAGGACCAAGGTGTAAGTTGTAGACATCAAATAAGTGTCGGCGTAAAGCTAGAACACATGGCAGCGAACATTCCTCAGTGTCTCCTGCAAAGGAGCTCAGATGCCATCACAAGAAAAGCTAAAGGATGACATGTCTCCTTTATTCTTCCCTGAAATCTCTCTACCTCAGAGGAATGCAGAGTTTGTATCTCCACCAATCCCCAGAATAGGTAGTAGCCAGAAGTATGCTGCTGTTGCCTATTCCCTCTATTTTCTAGGCAATGAATCACACATCCTGGAGGCTGCCGTTTCAGATCCCATCAACAGTTTGGGACTTAAGGTTCACCCAGTCTCCCATGATTACGCTTATGACAGTCCCCCCACTATCACCTGTCAGGGTAGGACATGAGGTGGCTAACCAAACCCTGGAATCTGTCATGAGGATCTTTTTAAGCAGGAAGAAAAAGGCTCTTTTATTTCACCTTAGAAAATTCACACATACAAATCCTGGTTTGGGTCAGAAACCCTAACCACTAACCTGTTGAACTGATCTAAAAAAAAACCCCTTATTGAACAAAGCCCTTCTGTTCCCTAAAGGGATTCCTCAGGTCATGCTGGGACCTCAAGCTCCTTTCAGGTGTGGGTGTAAAGAGGCTGTTTTATGTTCATCTCCCTTAGGCCAAGGGCCAGAGAAGGATTTGGTTCAATAATACGACACCTTCTCCAAGCATACAGATGTGAAGCACTCGTGTTCCATACACACACCTGATCACTGTTTTGGTGGGTGGACATGGTGGTGGTTTGGAGCAGAGAGGAGCAAAGATTGTGGTTAAGAGTAAAACCCACATTAGGTTTCTCCCTGTGGCCCTTTCTCTGCAGCATCCCTCATACCCCATTATTTGTTGGGTGTGATGACTACTAAGCAGGCCAAGATCTTGTACTTTGAGACCAAAGGCCAGACCCCTACTCCTCTACCTGAATAGTGATACGACTTGGCAGGAAGAACCGCACCTACTGCTCAGCAGTTGTGTCAAGGGCTGCCAAATCCCTATTTCCTAAACAGCTGTTAGCCAACTTGGGACTAGTCCTGGGTTGTCTCTAAGGGGGCACAAGGAGAGAATTCCTTTGAAATCCATGACTCCTTGCTCAACATTTCTGTCTGGCTTTAGGAATCAATGACAGTGAGGTAGCCACAAACTGTATCCAAGACTAATGGCCCAGAGAGAAGGAAAGGGCTTTGTGGGTCCTTTTCACCCAAGTTTCCTCCAAAAGGCACTTGAGCTGACCTTATCAGTACCAGTGGGGCATGGGCCATTATAATACCCATGGGCACGACTCTTGCTCTTCTGAGGAAGAAGAGGCACTGCCCACTCTTCTTAGATCCAGCCCTTGTCTGTTTTTCCCATTTTTCCTTGTCTCAACAGTGTCTAAGAAGGCCAAAGTAAGTTCATATGCCATCCCTGATCTTATTCTCCCTCAAAGAGGTGAGATGCAGGTCTGTGGAACACTGAGGATCTACTGCAACTAAAAACTCAATTTTGGGGGAGGGCAGCCACAGTCCCTAATTTGGACGAGGACTTTATGCCTCCAGATTACCTGCATCCACAGTTTACCTGCTGAAACTGCTTTTGGATAAACAAAAACAAGAACAGAACAAACTCCCTTCCCCAATCTTTTCCATTTCAGCTGCCAGCTGGAGTCCAACGTTGTGGGAACCACACTTCAGTCTTGGTCCTATACCATTAAGTCCCCATTTATGACCTTAGCCAAGGGTCCAGGGACTAGATCCCTTACCCAGGAATGCTGCAGAAACTTCCCGAGATGCTTATAGTCTCAGATTATTTACAGAGCGCAGGCTCTGGAGTCACTGTCCCCTGAAGCATTCTTCTGGCCTCCTGGGTCCGCTTTGCCAGGAGGGGAACAGGTCAGTAGAGGTGGTGGTGGGACCATCAGACCAGAGAGGGTGCACTCTTCAGTAGATTCTTCTGATCACTCCCACCACCCAGGGCCCCTTGCACCTATAGAGAAAACTGCCCATCGGAAGTCTTGGATTGGCACCCTTGGCACATCCGTTTGTGTCTGAGTAATCGATCTGTCCGAGAAAAACACTGAGAAGAAAGGGATGAGTAAGTGCCTGAGAGGAGAAACTCCATCGCCTGTTAAGTAGTTTATAAACCCCACTACCTAAAGGCACATGTGTCACATTCTATGCCCCCTCAGCATATGCACATGTGCATGAGCACAAAGTGGTTAAGAATGAAGGTGTAACAGCCTGGTGTGGCGGCACATGCCTATAATCCCAGCTCTTTGGAGGCTGAGGCAGGAGGACGACTTCAAGTTTAAGGCCAGTATGGGATACATATTTGAGTCCAAGGCCATCCCAAACTAGAAAACCCTGTCTCGGAAAACCAAACCTAAACAAAAACTGCAGGTGCTGGAGCCAGCATGCCTGGCTGTGCCACTTAGTAGTAACAGATAAGTTATTTAAAAGGCCTCAATCTGTACATGACCTGTAACATAGGGGTAGAAGTTCCTACTCACAGCATAGCTGCTTTATTCAAAGAACATTTATTGAGTATCTATCTCAAGCAGATATAGTTCTTGGATAAGAACTATATCCTGTCCTTGCTGAGGACAAGGTGGAGAATGAGAAAAGCCTCCCTCAAGGGTGCTTCACTCTAATGTTGTGAAGATTCAGCGTTAGAGTATGGGATAAAGCCTCAGACCTAGCAAAGCATCCACAAAGTATCAGCTAGTACCATTGATATTTTGTTCTTGTCTGATTTTGGCCCTGACACCATTCCCATCAGATCAGACACTGACCCTCAGGGCAAAGATTCTATCTCTTTTTCCAGGCTGACTCAGGCTTTGTTCTGTAGTATCCCTAAGAAACTTAGCTTTGCTGAATCCAAATTTCCCCATCCATGAAACCTTACGCAGATAATGTGAAAATAAAAACAAAAACAAACAAAAAAATCTGTACATTTGTTCTCAATATTCCAATGACCCATTTCTACTATCAGCTGTACACAGCCAGAGGTGCACTTCAGCCTGAGGTATTGAGTCTATTATGTCAGGAGGCTCCCTCATCAATCAGGTTTATGTGCAGTGTTATGGTGGAGATGGGTGATGTGTGAGCCTTACCTGATGACATCGTTCACACTGGTAAGGCTTTTCACCACTGTGCACACGCTTGTGGCGTTCCAGGTGGTACTTCTGGATGAAGCGCATATCACAGATATCACACTCAAATGGTTTCTCACCTGGCCCAGATGGAGAAAGAAGTAATGTCAGGAGGGATATATGATAGAGACTACATTCCAGTTACCTTCCCAGATACCTAGGCTATCATGTATGTGAAGGGTTGCCAAAGCTGCTATCTCAGTGGCACAGAGCCATGCATTCTACTTTCTTTGCTTATCCTCTTCCTCCACTTCTAATATTTCCCCTGTAAAATAAATCCAATCTGAGAGCTACACATTCACAGAATATAAGCTACAGACTTTTTGCCCCTTTGAATATAAGCAAGAGACTTACCAGTGTGAATAAGGATGTGCCTCTTGAGGTGGTAACTGCTCCTAAAGGCTCCAAAGCAGTGCTCGCAAATAAAATTTTTTGGAATCTTTACTTGAAAAGAACCATTTTGTTCCACCACAACCACCTGGGGGCAATAATCAGGCATGTCACGTCATGTTGGTCTCCTCCTAGAGACCATTCTACTCCGGGTTCACTTTCAGCTGCCAGATAAAGATTCACTCTGATGTGGTCTAAAGAAGCCGCCATTGCCCATTTTCTTTAGGTTTAGAGCACCTCTGGGGAAGGAGGTGGAGTAGGTAACCTGCCTTCCTGTCAACAACCGATACTGTGAGGATGGCCTCAGCTAAAGCTGGAACACCCTTGCCACAGGGGCACAAAACAGGCCACAATCCCAACTTGTACCAAGGATGTTCTGGCAAGGATAGACATCAACTACCAAAGTGGTCTCTAGCTGAAATCAAGGGACACACTCACTGGCTACAAGGGACCACAGTATTCAGAGAAAGCTCTACAGTGAGTCGTGGTGGGAAGAAAGAGGAAGACTACCCCATCCCCAAACTGTACCGGTTTGGGGAAGTACCCCATTACCTGCCTTTTTAACAGTCTTTTTTGAATGAGAGGCCTCAGCCAAGCTGTCATCATCTTTACGGCTCCGGGACTTATCACTTTCTTTTCGGTGGCCCTTTGAAGACAAATAAAATCTAAACTCACAGTCCATTTCGAAACGTAAGACCAAATGCTGCTTTCTGACAATCTATAAATGAAAGTAAAGTGTGAGCCTCACAGATGCAGAGAAGGCACACATCTGTCTCTTTGCTGTGTATCTGATGTTAAGAGCTCCATGTGCAGAGATCTTTCTTAGACTCTAAAATGCCCATTCACTTGCTACCCAGCTGCGTGCCCTTTCCAGAAAATGGAACCACTGAAGGAAGACTCAAGCTTGGCATCTACCAGCAGAGTGTCCCCCTGACCCCAGCTGCCACAAGGGGCTTAAGTGCTGTACCTGGCTCGAGCACCTCAGCACATCGGGGCTGCCTGCCCGCTCGCCATTCTCAGCCTGCTTGCTGGCGATTGGGCTGAGCATCATCTTCTTGCTGGCCGCAGTAGGGACCAAACTCACTCCTGCTAGGCCTTCACAAGCCAGCAGACTTGCCTGTGTCAAAAGGAGATGAGGGTCAAGAGTGGGGTGGGACAGGGCAAGACTAATCTCATAACCAGCTACCCAGAAGGAGTCTCTCCAGGGAATGTCCCTCCTCACCATCAAACCCTGCATCCTGCAGGAGTCATCCCTACCTCATCTCACCAGGAAGCAGGTCCCTTTCTATCGTCCTCATCACTGAGATACAGTTTGAGTTGACAATCAAGTGTTACGGACACTCTGTCACTGGAACTGTGACAGCAGTGTGGCTGACTATACATTACTCTAATGGTGTTTCTAGATCTCACCTCCAAGTGGGTACAGGGGTCTGTCCAGCTGACCTACTGAATGTGAGATTCCTGGAGGACTCTCCTCCTTCTCCCTTCAATACTCCTAAGTTTCAGAGCCCATTTCTGACTGGCGGATCTTGTTGGCACCAACTGTATATCCACATTTCTCTCTCATCTTTAGATTTTAGATTTCCTAAGTGCTCCTGATTACAGCAGATATAAACTACCTAGAAAAACTCTGAAATTGAACATACAATTTCTTTTGATTTTTTAAGGCCATTTTTAGGCATGTATGTCCATGTTTTCTCCACCCACACTACCTAAAGCTAAAAATTACTTAAAGGTTTTTTATTTTTTTTTTTGAGTTAAGGTCTTACTATGTAGTTCAGGCTAGCCTTATGCTCACAGCCATTCTTTTGCTTTAGCTCCCAAGTGCTGGGATTACAGGTGTGTGTCACAATGTCTGGCTACTTAAGGGATGTATAAGCCAATAATGTAACCTCTTTTCACTGCAATAGTCTTCAGACCTTGTTCAGCCAGCTTAAAAACAAAACAAAACCTCTCCTTACTAAAGAAAAAACTTTTTTTCTTTTTTATTATTTGGTATGGGGGATGGAACGTAGGTCTTTAGCACTGAGCTATACCACCAACCCTTTTTTAAAAACCAAATTTTTAGCCAGGCATGGTGGCATACACCTGTAATCCCAAAGCTCAGAAGGCTGAGGATTATCATGAGTTGGATGCCAGTGAATCCAAGGCAAGCCTGAACTATGTAGCAAGACCCTATTTCAAAAGAAAAAAAATGAAAACAAATTTAGATTTTTTTTTTGGTACTGGCGATTGAACTCAAGACCTTATGCTTGTGAAGCAGGCGGGAGAACCAGTAAGATAAATCCCTGGCCACAAATTTAGATTTTGAGAGCAGGTTTTGCTAAACTGCTCAGGGTGGACTTGAATTTTCAATCTTCCTCAGCCTCCCACAGTGCTGATATTATAGGGATGCAATACCATTCCCAGCTTAAGACAAACTTCGAACAAATAGGGAGTCAGGAAACTCCCAAATTTGTAAATTCATTTCAGATGATCAGGCTATCTTAGGACCCCCTTCTTCCACTTTCAAAGACTTTGGAGAGAAAAGTCAGGAGTTGAAAATATTAACTCTGCTATTTGCACCATATAATCTTGGATGAATTACTCCATTTTAAGCTTTAATTCTCTTAAATGCAATATGCCTGTCAGTGCCCATCCTCAAAGAGTTGATGAGAATTAAACTAAGCTATAAAATGCTCAGCAGTGCTCGGCAGAAGGTTATGTGAATGGCTGCCTTTTCAGAACAAGATGCAGTAGAGTGGGCTGCACACAGACAAAGGAAGAAGCCAAAGGGTTCTTACTCTGTATGGAGAGGAGGAAGCTGTGCATGCAGAAGCAGCTGGAAGAAAGCCAATTACACTATAATCAGGCTGCCATACTGGTGAGGCTGGTAGGGGCGTTTCTTGGAAGCAAGCTAGAAACAGCTCTGGAAATGTATGCATACAGCTTTTCTACCCAAAGAACTGTAACAGCCTATGTGGGTCCTTGGTTCACCAACCCAATTCTCTCCACAATTCTCGTTGCAAACTGAACTGGACAAGAACAGAATCAAATTTCCCTATAAGGTTAACACTGAATTTGATGTGGTTCTCATCTAACTCTGTTTGCAGCTAGAATTGTGGACAGAATCAACCACCGTATTTGGTGGTTGTTAAAGCCTGTCCCTTTAATCCTTCCTCCATTTCCAGGACAATACCCCCCACCCCTTTTTGGTAGTGGCAGAGACTGAACTCAGGGTCTCTTTTTTTGAGACAGGGTCTCACTATGTAGGAACTCACTATGTAGCCCAGGCTGGTCTCGAACTCACAGCGATCCTTTTGTCTCAACCTCCCTGAGTGCAGGGATTACAGGCATGCACCACCACGCCTGGCAAACTCAGGGTCTTGTACATGCTAGGACAATGCTCTTCCACTGTGCTACACCTTTAACCACCCTCCCGCCCCTTTTTATTTTGAGATGGGGGTTTCACTAAGTTGCCCAGGCTGGCTTCACACTTTTGATTCTCCCGCCTCAGTCTTAAGAGAAGCTGGTATTGCCAAGTGTGCATTTACTAATAATTATCTTCTAAATATACTGATTTGATGGGCCACGGATTTAGCTCAGTGGCACTGCACCTGCCTCACAAGTGCAACATACTAAGTTTGATCCCTGGTACCAAAAAAATACATCATGGGATAAAAGGCCTGTGGATTATATTCTGTCTTACTTCACCAAGAAACAACACCCCTACCCATCATCATCTACTGTTACCCTCACAGGCCCTACTTACATGTTTTGCTCCATAAGCACTGAACTACTTACAGTACCCTGACACTCATCACACGCTTCTATACCTCTAAGCTTCTGTCTAGTTTCCCTTGGGCTAAAACCCTTCTTTGCTCGTTTAGCAAAATCCTATGCATCCTTCAAACCTTCTCTCATTTTTTTCATCCAGTCATAAGTACCACTCTGCAGTGCACACAATTCCATTATTACACATTCCTTCAATCAACAGATTCATAGTCTCTAGTATTGATGAGTAACTATGTAAAGCTTTGTGAATTGAAAAATAGATGACCCCCACCCCAGTTAGCCTGGAAGCTTACTGGGTTAAGGACAATCATATTCATCTTTGTATTCTCAGTGCAATGCCTTGCATGTAACAAGAGTTCAAAAAATTCTGGTTTAAAAAACAAACAAAAATAAACGAAGCATTCAGCCAACTATCCACTCCCTTATTCCCTTCAACACTTAATGTACCAAATGGATACTGAGTACATGTTGATTTGCTAATGTCCCCGCCCCAGTGCCTGGGATACAGTATGGCCTACCTCCTTCATTTGACTGGAAGCTCCCTGAAGGCAGGGGCTATGGCCTGTCTCCTTTCCTTCCTCTAGATCACCCCCTGGTGCTTAATACAGAGCTTGGCTCACTGGGGTTGGTCAATATTGTTGACTAAGGCAGCATTTAAGAGTGAATCTGCAAATAGGCTTCCCAGTGATCTTGAAGGAGGATTCTAGAGCTTTTTACCTGAGCCATGCTGATTTTTCACTTAGTGGAACCCGAAAGTTCAGGAGTTCCTTGATCCAGCTTTCCTTATGACACTGTTGCTTGAAGATCTGTCACCAAATCACTGGAATGGCTCCTTCATCTCCTTTTAGTCCTGCTGCCATATTGACTTGCTTTTATCTTCCAAAGGAACTTAGTGTCCACCAAAGGGAAAACAAGTGTTCCAAGAATCTCTGGTTTCTGTCTGGCTTCTGCCTATTGTCTGAAGAAAGCAAAGTCTGCCAATCTTGGTTTTCCAGTTGAATTCTCTTGATAAAGATCTTGATCTGCTCCAGAAACCTGAAATCAGAAAGGGAGATGGGGCCCTTAAGCGCAACATTCTCAGGCCACACACCGTGTAACACGATGAACTTTTTTGCTGCGCACTCTTGTGATGTTCAGAAAGAGGAGGAGTCAGGAAGAGATTTCTTTCTAGACGAGTAGAAGAAACTGGACTCCTAGGCAAGGAGGATCAGCCAACAGGAGCAAAGGTAACTGGGGTCTCCTAAGGAAGAACTACGACAACAAGCTAGCTGCTTAGATTTGCCATCTTAGGAATGGAAGAAGGGGCGGAGGCCTTTTGGGGTTTTTGTGCCAAGTGGGCCGGCCCGCAAAGCTGGTACTCCAAGGAGGCGGGCAGAGCCCGGGTGGAGGGAGACCATCGCTGGGAGCTAAGGCGGTGGGCAGACACCGGACTTGCAGTGCCCCCACGTGCGTATTCTCCAAGTTCGCCCGAAGGTACGGAAATTCGCAGTGGAGGTGGAGGGCGGGAGGGAGGACGGGCAGCCGAGGCCCAGAGCTGCGCGGCACGTCCCTCCCTCCTGCCAGCCAGGCCTCCGCAGGACCAGCCGCACAGATTGGG